CCTATTATAACTTTTTCCGTCAAGGTGAATGTTTATGTTATGTGTCATTGGAAGTTCGATGTTCAGCTTGGTGTTGTCATGTGTTCCAACAATGAGAATGGCCGACTGGAAGAAATTTTGAGTGCTTGAAAAGAAAGACGGGACAAAATATTTAGTTCCTAGAACATCCAAAGGTATTCCAAGAAAGCCATCGGTAGAAAACCTTGCCTGATTTATTCCAAAAACAACAATTTCATCGGACGAGACAATGTGAATTGCTTTCTTTCCACGTTTTGTTCCTTGTGATCTTAGGGACTTAGGAATCAATATCTGTTTTATAGTCCCCTTTTTAATGGTAAACCGGTCACCATAGTAGAGGGCATTTGACATTGGAGCAGAAACATTGGCATTCACAGGAACTTCAGACGCAGTCGTAATGAACAGCTTCAATGGGATTTCTGATAAATCTCCTACCCAGGCCTCGTCAGCCTCCATAAATCCAATGATGAATTCTTTTCCCTGATTATCTGGAATTTCATTGGCTGTAAAGCAAAACAACTTTTTTAGAGTTCATTTTGAGTTAAATTTTAACGCAGAATGACCAGTGTCGATTTTTCGACTTTCAAATGGGATATGAGCAGAATTTGCGCTTCAGTTAAGTTTAAATTATCGTGTGTGTACTCAAACGCAATTTACACTAAAATTCAAAACTTCTTAGATATTAAAAGTAAGTTATTTACGCAAATAAAGTCATCATAACGACCATAGAATTTGCGAAATGTTTACTCTAAGAGAGATTGTTGAAAGTCTTGTAACATCAGTTTATTTGTCATCAGCCTTCTTGGTCTAAAAATTAATGGTACTAAGAACATGCTTTTGCGTAGTGAATAAGTTCGAACACTTAAAACACCATATGGAGATGAAAGTGGAATGTGACTACTACATGTAACTTCAGAAGCAAAAACTTTTTCGATAATCTGTAACCCTTTTTTTCATATTCTTAATATTTTTATTTATTTATTTATTTTTTATTTCATTTTATTTATTTATTTTCATTTTATTTTATTATTATTTTTTTTATTTATTTATTTATTTTCTTAATTTTTTTTTAAATTTATTAATTTATTTATTTATTCATTTTGCTTCTTGGTAATATTTTGTAGTGGATAAATCTTAAATAAAATCACATATTTTCAAAGAGTAAGATTTTCGAGGTTTGAGGAAAAAGTACTGGTTGAAGGGATTTGATTTCGTACAGCTTCCTTATATATTTAAAATTTTACAGTTCTTGGAGGATATGATATCGTATAATACTTCTAAAATTGTTTATCCATTCTGACAAGTGTCGAGGTCTCCTTATTAATTCATACGAGCATTTAGCCCACCGTCTGGAATACTCTTCGACAGATTTGTTACAGAAATAAAGTTCTCTAGTCATTTAAAAGATCGGGACTTTCTGAATTTTATATAATGATTGCTTTTAGGTCATCATTTTCAATATATGTTCATCAAGAGTAATAGTGTATCCAGGAACTATAGTTGAAAGAAGAGGAAGAACAAGAATATGTGAGGGGTATTGTTTTAGGTGGTCAAATCTAGAGTTTAAAGAAAACTTCAAATAAATGAAACAATTAGGGAATATCTGTAGGAAATGCAGAGTGCAGACATCAACTTTATATATGCTTGTAGGATTATGTTCAATAGTTTTATATGATTACATACCAGAACAAGTTATCGTAATCATCAACAAGAATTCACATATCTTCTTCTTTGTCGTCATCTCTCTTTTTCAATCTTAGGAAATATTTCAATAAAATATTTAAAAATTCAAGTGCATAATCTTTAGTAATTTTCTTTAATTATTTTTTTTTTCAACTTTAATGTTTAATACAAATCTTAAGGGCATTCTATTCAATTAGCAATTTCATAATTTATACAAGTGGTGTAGATTTGTCAAAAAATAAAACAAAAGTTTGATTATAAAATTAAAATTAGATTGCTGAAGGGTAACTTAATCATAATATGCGCTCATTACCTTCTCCTCACAGCCAACCTAAAGCTTAGCACAACAGATGCTAGAACTCAGCCAATTTTATTAGTTTTAAAACCAGCGGACTATTAAAACTGATTTTAATTTCTATCCTAATATGCCCTATCATGAGGGTCAAGTCACAGCCAAACAAAGATAAAAATAGCAAATAACCATTGAAGTAAGATTTTTATCTAAATGTATCGATTTAGCGATGTTTTCAATCACCATGCTTAAATTCGGTAATAAATCCATGTTCCATATACCACTATAATTTAGAATTGTGCTCAAAAAGCCGGAGCTTTTGTACACGTACAGTTTTCGTATTGTTTCTTCTTTTCATTGAAAGCGAGGTCAACTAATTTTAGACAAGAAATTTTAATATGCAGTCTCTCATATTTATGCAATTTTCTGAGTATTTTATGTGTATGGATACTATTGAAACAAAAGAAACCCTTCTGAGTACGAGTCCACGAATTTAGTCCCCTATAAAAGACAAACGTACAATTAATTCTTGCTTTTCGTCACCTTTATCAATTCTACACAGTGTGGTCTCATTGCTATAGGGATCTGAGAATCGAAATTCAAGATGCTTTTTATTATTTCCATGTCAAAAAAAATATAATAAATTAGAAGTTTATACCTTTTGGCAATGAACTTGCGGTTAAAACTAGAATCTTAATTTGACTGTGCAAGCAATAATCAGTTGACACCCCGAACTGATCTTCCTTCATTTCCATAGTAAAGGCATCTTCGCTAGCCAAGGGTGACGATCCGCTCCTCTCCTCTTTTCACAGAGGAGAGAAGCGGATCGTCACCCTTGGCTAGCGAAGATGTAGTAAAGGCGGTCATTTAAATATTGGATGCATATACAGCTACACTTAACGACAAAAATACTGTCGTTTTTTGTTTTTTTAAAGATTGATCAGTCATCTGCTAAAGTTTGAAATATAAGTCGGTAAAATAAATTTTCTCTAACCCTCCAACTTCGTTTGGGGTGACATTCAAGTTTATTAATTTAATTTTTTCCCCAGAGCTTTAGTAAGTTTAATATTTTCCTGTCATAAAATGCTCTGAAGCGCGAACAATTCATTTTGTTATTTTAAACGAATTTCTAGACATTAAATCAGTATACCAACTGCTATTTTTCAAACCAAAAATCGTAAGTCATACCTGATATGTTAGAAGCACATCGATCAAATAAACCCTTTTCAAATTCATGAATCTTTGAAATCCGTGGTAATAATGTATGCAGTATCGTATCTACATGTAATATTTACAATATGTACGTACAACAATTCTCAGAGTATGCCTTAAGATATAATCCTTTCCTGGCTTCCTCATTTACAATATCTTTATTTGTACATTTTTTAAGTATTCATTTACGTCATCGTTTCCTAATGTTTAAAGATTTTCCTGAAATAAAATAAAAGCTATTTTTTTCTGATTTCTTTATCAAAAGACAAATCATTTGCTCGGAAAAATTGAAATACTGACCGTCATTTAAAATTAGCAGGCACTGGTCTCCCATTTAAATCACACGGACAATCTCCCTAGTGGTCTGTGGAATTTATCGTCAGGACATCGAGATAATTTCAATATTTGATGGATAAGGGGAGTTGTTTTAAATCCGAAGTATTGGTTACTTTAATTAATGTAGATTTAAACTATATCAGTGTCGGCGGTCCGTACAAATGTACTTGTACTCTTGTGTAATAACAGAAGACTTTGGTAGCGCTTATATTATCTATAAAAAAAAATACTATTATATAGTATAATATACTACAAAATTAAATTAAAAATAGTGTCTTTCTGATGTTTTTTAAACTAACTATGGTTATTACCTCACCTTAGCCGAGGCTCAAATGAGCTTTTCTGATCGAAAATTGTCCGTCTGTCTCTCTGTTATCTGTCGTGTGTTGTCTGTAAACTTTTCACATTTTCGACTTCTTCTTCAGAACCATTGAAATATAGAAGCATCTTTAGTAAGTGTAGATTCAAGTTTGTTCAAAACATGCTCCCTGTGGGTAAGTTGGAACCACTTATATATTTAAATTTTTCAATTCTGCTATTCCGTAGCGAAAGTGCTTAAATGAGTTATGTTGCCCATGGCTCCCATTTTTTTTATTTGTAGAGTATTTTACTAATATCCTGTAGGAGATGTACCTTATTAGTTCGCCTGAGACAGCTCACATTCAAAAGTCCTGAAATCTTTTCAAATTTCAATCTCTGTTTTCGGAATGAAAACACTTATGTTAACTATCTTTGCGTAAAGAAAACTCTAAGAAGGCACTGGTATAAAGACCAATAATGACCAGAATCAAATACTGACGAGGGTCATTCTTCTGTCGTGTCTATATTTTGCTTGTTTATTGAACCTTGGGGAACTCGCTTGCAGTGAGGGACCCTTTTGAACCAGTCTCCTGTCCAATACGGTTTGGAATGACTGTAAAATATAGATAACCAGAGAAAGCGTAAATAAAATTTTAAAGTCGTCATGTTGCAGATTTTGTTTAAGAAATAAAATATATCAGAAAGAACACTTCGATGGGGATCATTTTCATATTTAGAAAACTGACCCATATTTTGGAAGATGGGCAGGTATTAAATGAAAAATTATGTTCACTTTATAAAACTATGCATAAAGCCGACTAATTTCACTTTAAACTTGAATATAGTGCGTCAAGCATTCGATAGAAATATCTTAACGAACACGTACTACTTTACTGGACCAAATATGCTTTTCTCATCTGATGACAAAATAAATGCTCCATGTAAGACGAAAAAACCTTGTTGTCCATATTAAATTATATTATATATCTGTCCTCCGTGATTTTTCTCCTTACTTTTGTTATTAGATATTATGTATTTTTTCTGCCTTCACTTTCATTTTTTGCATTCATATTTTTATGCACATGTACCTCTGACCTGAATTTGCGAGAGGTTATCAAAAAGTTCGCAGACTGATGCGATAAATTTAAATATTACGCAGTTGGTGATAACAGAATTTATAAGGAATATAAAAAATAAATAAAATTTTTGGAAGTGTTGACAATTTTAGCTTGATACGTTGATAATTTGTCAAATGATCATTACACACAAAAGACATTATATGATCACCCGGCGCTGTCGCTGTTAAGTTTCAAGACATCCGACGTCATTGTTTCTCAAAGTACGCTCCTTCTGCCTCAAAACACTTTTCTTGAGATTCCATAGTGTTAAGTAAAGACTGAAACCCGTCTTGTTTCAATTCAATGCATAAATATTATGAAAAAACAATGGGAATATTAAAGTTAATCAGAGCAGATCTGGCGTTGAGCTTCCCAAATATGTTCGCAGATCACTGACGGTAGATCTAAACAGTTTACAGGGGATCGTTTCTCTATTCAGTCGTCTGTGTGCTTCATATCGATGACATCCTCCAAAAGAGTAAAAATAGTCCCCTCCCTGTTGCCCTTTAATCCAAAGAACATCAATTGGAGGAACGCTATCTGCTTGGTCTTCGTCCTTTAACAAAATAAAAGATTTTCTTTTCACTAAATGAATTGCTAGGAATACATACACAGTAGCTTGTTGCATCAAATTAATAATCAAACAACGTCAAACTTTTTTTTCCAATGGGATTAAGGTGACAAAGACGCCGGAAAGAAGCAACATCATGGTGACAAAAAGTATTGCAACTTACTTGCAGAGTTTTCATCAGGGATTTCACTTTATCTTCGTCTAGCACTGATGTGAATGGTCTAATCAACACCGATATCGGAACATTGTGAACTTCTGCAATATGATTACTGTGAATAGACGTTTGTTTATCATTTGACATTAGGATTCGTCTTTCTAGCTCCAGAAACCAATTTTCCGGAAAAGTGAAAGTAGGACAACTAGCGCTCACTGACTGGGAGTGAATATTGTTCCTTAAAACGACACATAAAAGAAACACCACAATATTTACGTAGGTTATAATACCCAAACTATTAAAGTTACATGTTGACTCTGATATTTGCATATCAAAGTTTAACGAAACTCGACTCTACTGTCTACTTTCTCTTTTAAAAACCGGAAGTCAACAATGCCAACAAAGCTTGTGTTTAACTAAAGTCCGCAAAACGGGAACATTATGTTTTTTAAAAAAACATTAAAGTAAAAAGATTATAAAGATAAAATTATTCCCGTTCTCTTATATTTATATGACATCTATTCTAAATTTATATTTTAAATTCACTGTTGTTGTGTAGAAGTATTTTTCTTAAAATGAAGAATATACACTTGTTGCTGAATTTAGCAAAACCTCAAAACACCAGTCTGTCCTCTTGAAGATGAAGATGTCCAATCCTATTAAATGACACTGTAAGTTTATCACAGATTGTCAGTTTTATGTATGAATATTTAATGCAAGAAAACAGATAATGTTCTGGACCCAGGAATTTCAATGCAAGTATCATGGTAGTGTGAAATAAATCTTAAGAGATTTTACTACGGGAGTCAGGGATTCTTTCTCTAACGCTAGAACTATAGACCCCCAGGGGTTTGTCATGATATATATTTACCTTTCTTAATATAGATATTACTACTAAAAAAAGTACAAAAGGGTTGCATTTTATATTAGGGGTACCTATATTGAAAGAAGGCAAATATTACGTGACAAACAGACAAACACCCTTCGCATGCAGGCAGACATTGACAATAAACAGGTCCAGCACAATCTCTTGATTTAGCTCTATAGCTTGAATAATGGCTATATAGTTTTTTAATCCATTCAGAAATCAGAATAGCTTGGTTTTAAAGCTATTTTTATGCAGTATTAACATCAAAGTTTTTGTAAGAAGTAGACAAAAAGTTGCAAGTATATATCAAAAATCAATCCAAATGGTAACGGGTGGGTTTGCCCCGATTACATGTTCACTCTGAGTGGTTTCGCGGTGAGTGGTTTCACCCCAATTATATCTGTTACCTGTAATTAAAAGGTGTCAAAGTTTTCCACCTGTGTATTTTGGCAGTCAGCTATGACAAATCTTCAATGTTTATGTTTGTGGTTTTTGCGTATGTGCTATGGAAACTCTACATGGCACACCTATTTGATTACGTTTTAATGAAGTAAATCTACTTAGATCAAACTTTGAAAAAAAAGTTGGAGATTGCTGGAATAAAATTGAAACGCTTAAACTAAACATATATTTTACATATTTTTACACAGATGAATTGTTCCCCCCCCCCCCCCCCCCCCCCCCCCCCCCCCCCCCCCCGTGTTTGTGATTTTTCAAAGAAAAGTTCGTATTTTAGATCTGTCGTGAAAATCAGACCGGAAAATTTTTTTCATAACAATTTAATTAAAGTGCTCAGTAATTATCTTAATTAAAACACTCATTAATCAAACGACTTTTGCTTAAATAAACATCAAGCACACTGTATGTTTGAAGAAAACCAATCGTGGCGAATCCACTCAGGGTGAACAGGGAAATGGCGCGAAACCACTCAGAGCAAACAGGTAATCGGGGCGAAACCACCCGCATTCTTCCAAATGAAAGATAGTTCCAACACTTCAGCTTATGAATACTTTGAAGCAAAAGATGTGTTTCCATTTTTTGGATAACTGTACACTATTCTTTTATAATTTCACTCATATAATTGTTTTGTCACATTTCATGCAATAGCTTTATTTAGCCCTAAAACTTTTAGAACTTGAGTGTTAAGACTCCCAAGGATGTGCAATTTGATGAGCGATTTTTCAGAAGAGTTCAAAATTATATACTATCACTGCACTAAGGTGCGACTCTCTGAAAAAAATAACACATTAAGAAAAAAAGTTTGATAAATCAAGATATTCTGAATAGTTTAATAAAGCTACATTGTATATAGCTATACATGTCATTCAAGCTATATAACTTAATTAAGAGATTATGTTGGATATGATGGGGTAGGCCTGTACATTTTATATTCGATATAAAATGATTTTTGACATTTTGTTTTTATCATAATTTAATTACCGGGTAGCATTATGTGGTTCAAAATTAATAAAATCAATCAAATAAATTATATTTAAATATAAATTATCCACTGTCAAAAAAAAAAAAAACTAGTTCAGTTTAAGAATATCTGAACTTATGTCTCCTATTATACATGTATAATTTAACTTCCATCAATTTCCAATTTTTTACATGTATTTATCTGAAGATATTTTTCTTTTTTTTTTTTTTAGTGGAGTACTGTAGTTCATGAAGTTAATGAATGAATGAAAGTGAATTGGGGCAACTTACATTTTAGAATCATCTTCTGTGTCTTCAGTACAAATGCCAAAATGACCATAATACTTATTTAGAAAACTTGAAGATGGCCGGAGCCCCAGGTTCCATGGACCAAGGGGTAGAAGTAAGGAAGTCCAAAAAATCCATTGTTTGCTCACTTGTTCGATTTCAAAACAGAACAGAGAGAGGTGTTGACATTATATGGTTAAACTATGAAGGTGCAAGAGTGAAATACAAGACATTGCAAGCGTATGAGTTTGTGGATGTGAACACTTACGTAGGACATCCTTGGATTTTCTTGGATGTAGAATCTGGAGAGAGACTTGTCGTTGATCTGAAATCTGTGTACGAGCCAACTACAGGATGGGTACCTAGTCAATGGCCAGTGAAACCAGTCAGAAAAGTTGTGAATATCACAATTCCCAGTATGTATATATTTATAGTTTTGAACATATTTTATTGAGTACATCAAAAGGATTGGAAACAAGTTCTATACAACTTACTAAGTTCCTCTCCTTGTTTTTTTTTTCTCCTTATATATTTATTTTCCAAATTTAGATCAATATTTATTATTTAACTTTTTTTTTGTTCAAAGGTATCGTAGTGTAACAATGTGATTCATCATTTTTTTTCAGTTTACTCATTAAAGGATTCCTGTATAAGGTTTTTTAAAAAGCATCTCCCTAAAAACAACATAAACAAACTGGATCTTCCAAGTTCGTTGTTACGGGAAATGTACGAGAGATATGACACTCCTGCAATAGCAAGCGGACTGCGATCAACTGCAAAAGTTATTGCTCCTCCTGACCAAGAAGGAACAAACTGATGGATTTGCAAACGTGTGTGGAAACTTGAACAAGATTTTATGTGCATACATATTCATTTCCTACTACGAAGAAAGGAATCTAGAAATAAACAAAGTGTACAAAAATATTTTATGCACACACATTTACATATTCGTTAGTAGTGCAAAATGTTTGTGGATTATAGAAAAATGTCATGACAACCCCGATATGACTTCACAAAATAATTCTCCTGCATGTCATTTAGTTTCATCAATACTCATCATTTATTTTTTACCCTCATCACCAAATGCCATTGGAAGGTTTTTAAAACTAGATCATGTAAATTGTATATAAACTGTTGAAAATTTTGACCAATACTGGTATCTTAGCAGGATGTGATGGTTAAAAAAAATAAATCCGTGCAGTGTACCAATACATGCAATAGTTGCAGTCTTCTGAATTATTTATAGATGTCAAACCATATCTGTTCATCAGATGATGAAATTGAAATGAAATTCTCTTGCATATTCTCCATATGGCATGCATACACATTGTGTTGGGGAACACTGCATTCTTATAAAGGATGATGTGACATACGGCCCCTGGTAAATTGACAAAAAATTAAATATCTAAATTTTACTCTAATTTTTGCATGAATTTAATCACTGATATGTATACCCTCATAAAATACTATTTTTACCGAAAATAGAAACATGATTTGGAAGATATATGTCTTTATATTGAGTAGGGGTACCATGTTTACATCCAATTCCCAATGAATTTTGGCCTCGCCCCACTCTTTGAAGCCCTTAAAATATACGAGCGCAAGTAGGTACATTTTTCTCCTTTGGCTGGTCACTGTCTTTTATTGAAATCTACCTATATGTGAAAGGAGAAAAATGTACCTAATTGCGCTCACATGTTGTTTTTTAAAAAAATGTAAAATCTAGCCGGCCTTTCCCATTATGAACAGATCGACGAAACTTTTTTTCTGACGTAAGAATAAATTCATATGCTAATCGAGGCACTGGCGATACTTTCTAACTGACCAATCAGCTAAATGATTTGCATAACTAGTGAGTACCACAAAAATACTAAGGACATTTTATGCTTGGAAAAAAGATTGGGTTTTTAACCTGCTTTCCGATAAACATTTTTTATGCATTTGAGTCACAGATTAGACACGGATCTACAATATCCCAGTTCACATTTACAAACAATTGATTTATAAATATACATAGTTAAAAGTTTTGTAAAGCGTTCGGTGGGCAATTCGCTAGGCCTACACCGTATTCCCGAGAATCAGTGAATAGAAGTTTCATTCTTGAGACTGCTGTTCCATGCGTATTATTATGTATAAATAGCCTTGGCTGACCATTAAAAGTTTGAAATGTAGTAGAGATATCGTGTAAATTGACCTAAACCACGTGTCTGTGATAAAATGTAAACATATAGTAAACCAGCATGTTTTGTCGTTCTGTCATCGGATTGGACAATTGTTCTCGGTAAGCGACTATGTGCGAAATAATAACAATAGCCATATAAGGTAGATTCCTCAAACATGCATATCCCTCTATTGTACTAAGACCCGCCTATTCTCTTTTTATAAAAGAACGTATTGTCACAAACCAGGCTGAATTTTGCTGTCATAGGGTCAAAAAAATCATAGATAATGCAGTAATCCTTGTAATTAAAATTTGTCGGAACTATTGAAACTATTCAAAAGGCGTCGTATTTATTCACTCATGTATGAAAACTATCAAAATCGTTGTAGATTAAATATAATTCGTCGTAGAAAAAGGGGCCCCAGATAGCAGTTATGTCACATCATCCTTTGTGAACGTAATATTATATTTCCCATTGTAAGTCATATTTTTACCTTGTATACATAACAAATATACCACCTTTCCATCCCAAGATTCAATATACTGTTTGAATGAATAGCTCCCTTACAGAATACATGTTCCAGTAGTTGCATTTTGCTCTATACTAATTAAGTTTCCTACATGATATGGTCTTGATCTACAAGTATTTGGACTCTTCAAGCAAGATGAAACAGTTTTTCTATTGAAAGCAAATGGTTAAAACAATAGTAAATACAAGTATTTAAGTGATATTTAATCACGTCATAATTATTAAGAATTTTCACAACCATTAAATCTGAATTCTAAATTTCATGGAAAATTAACTCTTTTACAGATTGAATAGACCAACATATTTTATTCAGCTAATAGCTGTTGTTAGAGAAAAACACACACACATTTTATGTACACATTTTATGATGTGTGGTGAGTGGTCTATGAGATCTGCAATAATCTTTATAAAAAAAATGTTTATACTGGTTCCTAGGGATCTGGAAACCCTCAAATAAAGCTGCCCTTGAAATTTTGGAAACTAAGAATAATAAGCATTTTCTGGACATGTACCACATAAAGTTGATTTCATTCACTATCTGTTCTCTGAATTTTCTGCAGGGATTCTGATATGAAACATTTGATAAGATATTCGTTGCTGCTTCTTAAGAAGTATGCAAATTCTTCATCTGAAAAAAAAAATGCACATCAATAAGAATGGTTCAAAGGAATAGCTTTAAAAATGTAAAAATGCTTTTTGTTCACATTATATTTTGTTACGGAAACAATAACCAATATCTTACTGTTGAGAAGTACATGAATAGGGATGGTTTCTAACAATGTTTCATGTTTTGATTTTAGTTTTTCAATCTCCTCTAAGTGGGATAAAATGAATGCTGTCTCTGGTTTGTACTGCACACACACTAGAGCCTGAGCTAGAGATGAAGAAGGGGAGGGAACCATTAGCACCTGAAAGACAACATAACGGAATCAATTACACTCTTTTTACACTCATCTAGATAAAAAATTGAGAACTCAATGCATTTTGAATATCAACTTTACAGGTTTTTTAAAATGATATGTGAACCAAGTTGAAAATACAAAGATGGCTCAGAATTGGCTTGCAAGGGAATGTATTTGCTGTGAAAGGATGCCCATCAAGTACTGGCTCAGAGCTACAGTGATCCTCTGAATTGAATTACCTTGTTCCTGCTGTTCTTGAAATATGTTTTCAAAGATTTCTGCTCAATATTGTCATGTAAAACTTTGATCCCTTTTGTGCCCCAACTTAGGACTGGGGGTCATGATTTGAATGCCTTGACCTTACACTAGATAAGGAAGCTATAACATAATAAGTTTTGTCTTTTCTGGCCAAATGATTCTTGAGGGAGATTTAATTAACCCCCCCCCTTTATTTTCACTATTTCCATATTTTTCTTTCTTGAAAAGTAATGTATCTGTGTTGAAATGGTCCAGTGGTTCTTTAGAAGACGTCAAAAATGTTAAAACTTAACACACACCAGATACCAGACAGACTATAAGATGACTGGCAAACTTAGATCAGAAAATCTTTGAAATTCAAGCTTTTGGCTTGGTTGAGCTAAAAATCCTTGGGACTGAGGAGGTAACTTCTATATACCCTTCACATGCAAACTTTCTCAATAATATGATTGAACCTGTGTCACATCTGTGAGGGGCAAATGGGCTAACCACTTCACGAGACATTCAATTTTGTACTTGATTTCATAGGAACACATTTTACGGCCCCACTTAATATTGAAAATTGAGAGGCTCTGATTATCTTTTTACAATACTAGGTGATAAATAAATATTGCATTTTTGGTCTTCCAATGGAAGTAAAGCTATAGGAAAGGACTTCATAAGTTGAAAAAAAAAATTCTCTCCTAATAATCAAGTTCAAGCAAAACATAGAGGCTATAGGCAAATGAGTTTCATAGTGACAATTTCCTTCTGTAAAGTCAACAAAAAATGTTATTTATTGTTATGATATGCACATAAAAGATGAATGTAAAGGTTCTTGAGATTTTTTTTATCTAACCTTATGAAAACAGATTGATAAAAGAAAGACAACTCCAGCTGTCCACCTCATCAGGCAGGTTGAAAATATCCAAATAGAGGAATCCCCCACTTTAATGTTCTGAAGCAAGAAACTATTAAGAATGAGTATAAGCAACATATTATCATTATGTACATGTACATATTCATAATTATCAACTGTAACATTCACAAAAATAATTAAATCAAAAATTCAAGTTTATTCTGATAGGTATTTAAATATCCAATAAGTCTTAAAATTAAGATAGCTATAGGTCCACTTATGGTGGTCATGGGCTGTTTTATTCAGATTTTCATTTCATATTTTGATTTGTCTAAGGAGGTGCATGATCAATGTTATTGGATTATTTTTATTGAGTTTTCATTACCTGAAGAAGAGAAATAACTTCCTTTAATAATATTTTCTGTGACCCCACTTCATCCATTAATCCAGTTCCCATCACATGGCAAACGTTTTTCTCGCTAACATTTCCTCTTTCAATATTTGGTGACTTTGGACTAATGAGCTGTTGGAAAGTGCAAATACAGGATGCATTAGTCATATGCGGTTCAGTTTGATATATGACTGCATTAGTGATATGTGGTTCGGTTTGATACATTTTTGATCTCGAACAATTTTTTTTTTTTTAAATCACTTAATTTCTGTTTTAATCATTAATTTTCAGCAATTCTGTCTATTACATGTAGTAGAGAAAATTTCTACTCACTGACTTTACAAAGTCAAGGTCCTTAATGTTTTGATCAGTTATGTGCCCTTGGACAGTCTCACTGACAGCAATTAACAGCGGTCTGTGATTTTCAGCATACAACACCGATAAAGCCTCAACAACCAAGTCTGTTACATTTACTTCTGTACCTGATTTTTTATACCTCTGTAAATTAAATGTTAAATCATGGGTATGTTCGGTATTAGTTCAGGAGATAATTGTATAATTAATACTAATGCCTATCACAAAGAAAAAATATACGATTCCATACTAGTCAGTTTACAAGTAGTGTTCTTTCATCATTTATGGAAAGAATCATTTTCCTTTCTTGTTTCTTATAAAATTTTGTTGCAAGTGGGCCTTTAATTTTAGAGAAAATGTGAAAAATGTCAAAAAGTTGACAAACATTAAAGTCAAAATGGTAAACATCAGCATAATGCCATATTACTTGTTATACCTGCAAAAGGTTCATCTGTTGTACCAGCTTCCCAGTACAAAAACATGAGCTTTGGATGTCCAATACAGGCCTTCCGTGTGATAAAGTCCAGCTTTCTATTCCTTGCACATCCTCTAGATCCGACTGTTACAGATTAAAATAAAATCAGGCCTAATTTTTTTTATTAGATATGACCCTCTTATGAGAACCCAGTGATGTCAAATTCGAAAATGGAGTAATAAAAGATGAGATTTATTTTCAGTATTTGATGCTTACCTGAAAATTAAATGTCTTTGTTTCTTCAACTTTATAAGGATCAATTAATTTCACTTGTTCATACAGAGATGCCCCCATCATCTTTTTTCTTTCATTAAAAGTTCCCTTCCTATTTTTTCCAAATTCCTTGACAGGAAACGACTTGTTTTCATACGAGTCCTTGCGTGTTTTCTTTTTCTGTAAAAATTAAAAAATATGTATTCATGCATTCAGATCCTGCAAAAAATAATTACTTACATCATTAAAAAAAGCAAGATTTTTACAATTTTAGTCGGGGCATTTCAAAGTAAATATTGACTAATTTTCATTTTAATCATATGAATGTGTACAGTGTACATGTGAAATAAAATGCTTAAAAATTTTACAAACAAGTCACAATTATTTTTATACATTCAGTGCAGCATGTACATCTGCTGCCACTTCTGACTAATTTGAAGTCATGTGATTTTCAATCGTGAATTGATACCTTTCTATATGGCAGCATTCTGCTCTGTGCAGGTATTGGGTGAAGGTTGTAAGCATTAATATAGAAATCAGCACAGGCATCTTTGATGTCCTCCATCCATTGAGTGTAAGATTCAGACACTCTGGGATAATGGTCCAGGTTACATTTAATGGTCTCCATCTGTAGGTCTGTAAATTCTTCACAGATTCGGATATGCTCTGACAAAAACTCAGGAGGGAAACAACTCTCAGGAAATCTGAACTCATAGTTCCCATCTTCTGAAGAAAAAGGAATATATTAAATTGTACCTGCTGTTTATAATGTGTTAAAACAGACTAGCATCTGTGAAAATCTTTGATATGACAACCCCAGAAATGAAAAATATTTACACTTTAGAAACAATCTCAAAAAAGATGGATACAAATATGTATTTCAAACTTTACAGCCTAATTTATATGTTGTAAGCATGTTGACACTTACCGAAAAATGGTTTACAAAATTGTTTGAATTCATCCATTCTTTCTCCTAGTCCTAGAAAGTTTAAACATACAATATAAACTTCTGAATTTCCACTTTTGCTAGTTGCGGGTTTGAAAACATTTATCTACAAAAAAAAGATAATGATCACAAATCAAATATAGACCGATAAAACCAATAAAAAGATTGAAGTAATGTGAATCTCATTTGGAAAGGCTATATCATATGAATCAATTATGCAAGCATAATTTACCTCTTCAAATAAGCAGCCCAGTATAAACATCAGACTAATGGTCTCGCTATCAAACATGGTGAATTTCTTAAGCACTAAGTGACCTCCGGGGGAAAGAATAAGAATCCCTGCCAGGGCCTCACAGTAATGTAGGCGGGACACAATTTGTTCCTGTTCCCCAGGGTCATCCTGACAGTCAATGGAGCCATCTGCCGTGACCTGGATAAAAGAAGTATCAAAGATATTCTATATACATTTAATTTTACATTTAAAAAGTTTTATGTATGTTTACAAGGTGTTACTACATATCAATGTTTTTTGTTGTAAACAGCAGTGTTTAACTGACTCAATATTGTATTCTGTTATGATTACTTACACTTCTTAATAAAAAACAGAGTAGAAGCTTGATCCTATTATTGAAAATATTGGAAATGTTAAAATATGTAATTCTAATATTTCTGAAAACTAAAACTCCTTTAAAGAATAAAGAATATCTTATTTTCAAATACTGCAATGTATCCTTAAACATAAATTTCTCTAGTGAATTTACATTAAAAGGACATTTGTATAAACAATATACTCATGAAGTTAATGATTAAAGCATACCAAGTTGAACAATAGTACCACAGACTTCATTGTGACTGATAAAGGAATGTAAACTTTAAGTCTTAAAAAGGCCCTTACTGTTACCATGGTTACTGAAATAAACACAAACATACCAGCTGAACAGCTCCCATAGTAGAAGCCACATGAAGGAGGCCCTCAAAATTATTGAACTCCATAAGATTCCCTGTGTTGTCTTCTCCAAAATACCAGTAATCTATACTTTCTCTGATGAAACGATCATCATCTATCATCTTACCCAGGGGATTCCCTTCATAGTAAGGATTCAGTGTACTTCCTAACCAGGTCCATGTTCCACTGTAATCTAGAATTTGAAAAACATCTGTAACATTTGAGTTTGTTTTCTTATTTAAACATCTACAAATGTAGACCATATTTATACTTTTACTTGTACTGTACATCACTAAATTTTTGCAATACATTTTTTTTTCGCAAGATTGTCATCTACTCTTTATTAGCAAGACAAAAATTTTCACAAATTGTGGTTTTTGCTCTATATAATCTTTAGCATTAGGAATACTAATATGCATAAAAAGGAAATTTTCACTAGCACACTGTATCGTGCAATTGGGCAAAAATAAGTTCTTGTGAATAAAAAGTGATTTACAGTATATACAAGACTTGCCTTCAGTCATATCAGTTTGTACACATATTGTTAAATTTTCACACTGTTTAGGTCAGTCCTGTGAAGTCTAACTGCAGGCCATACTTGAGCATTATAAAACTTTGTATCTAATATATATCAAAAATAAATTCATCCTCACAATGCCAGGGGTCCTGAGTCAATACATTGCCATGGGACCCCTAGCCAATTTTATTCGATATTATACAGGTTTGCTTCTCTCATTGAGAAGCACCAATCAAAGTAAAGCTTTCATCATCCTCGCAAGCCAGGGGTCCTGAGTCAACATGTTGCCGTTGGACCGACGTCAACATGTTGACTCAGGACCCCTGGCTTGCGAGGATGAGCTTTCATAAATAATTAGAAAATGTATTGTAAACAGAAAAGAATCAGTTGACACCTGTGATGCATGTGTTACAAGTTGTTTATCATAAAATGGCTTAATAGTGAGCTGCGCGAAGCGCCGCTTGTCACTGCGAGCTCTTAAAGCAACACCTGGGCGAAGAGAAAATTCAGACTTTGCACATTGATCCAAACGAATTTTTTTCTGCAGTAACATGTGGTCCCATAATGCTTTGCGAATTGCATCTCGCCGCAAACTACGTTCTCACGATAGCAACAAAAGTTCAACAAAAAATAAAATCACTTTGATTTAATGGATATTGCAGGAAAAAAACAACAGTAGATTAAACATTCTTCATAAAAACTAGCACTGTTCAGGCTTCGATTTTGTAATGCAACTTACATAAGACGTCATGTGATGTCAGAGTCTAGATCGACGTACCAAATGTCACGTGCCTTTTGAAGAGACGGATGAAAATTAAAACTGAATAGGTAGGCTATCTGCACTCGCCCTAACGGTCGCACCGTCAACATATTAGATAAGAAATCAAGATTTGTAATTTTCCCGAAAGACATCGCTACAGTCAGTCCATGAAAGATTGAATGAAATTGGCCACATTTCTCAAATTCATTATGTCATTGTACAAATGTATACATCTTGTTTAAAATTAAGAGACCAGCTTGGAAAAATGAATCACTTACCAATGGAAACAAGATAATGGTTCAAACTTGTTACAAATGCCCCTGGGGCTTCACAAAGATGTACTGTATTCAGATTTATAACATTATGGTGTATCAATGGATATGCTGAGAGAATTTCATAAAACTTGCACCATGCTTGAGTGCACAGTTCTGGACGGATCACTTGTTTCACTGTTGATATCACACTGCCAGCAATGTTCATGAATTTCGTGTGCTCATGCCATGAATAAATTTCCTTATCACTCAACTTGTCTTTCACACTGTTTAGTTTTTCCTTCAAAGTCTTAAGAACCGGATGTATCCACTTTTGGCATTCCTTATTTGTCAGTGATGGTAGTTGCCACCTGTTAGTCCTCTTGTATATAAATTTTTTATCGAACAATTTTTTAATTTTTTGTTTAGAGCTTGGATCTAATTGTTTCCCTGTTCCTGACAGTTTCCTTTTCCTCACAAGATCCATAGTAGTCATTCAGTTTAACAAGGATAATACATGATACAAAACGTTTCCCACTTGCATCCCGTTTCCCTTTCGTTTAAGAGTCTGGCAGTGTAAATGCATTAAAATTGGATATTAAAGACTTTGAAATACATTAAAAGAAATTAACTTTAAAACTTCCTTTTCATAAATTCATTTCGAAAAACTAAACCGAAACTGAAAGCATGAAGCTTACTTTCAATTTTACCGGAAGCTGGGCAACAGTCGTACAACAAATTGTCTTGAAAGACCTAGTACGAAGAAGGAGGGGGAGGAAGCGAGTGCCCGCCCTCCTTCCTAAAAAGGGATTGTATGGAAATTTACATTCCACCAAATCACCACCACCACTTTTTGTTGCAGCTTGGAAAAACTTTAATGAAAATGAAATTTGTATTAAAAAAAAATAAAAATCTTCAAACTGTTTATCTTCCAGATTGTAAAATGTAAAATCAGGGACCTATATACTAGTATATAGTTCTCTGGTAAATTAAATAAATAAAAATTTTGAATCTACTTTAAATTCACTTAAAAAGTTGTTTCAATAAATATTTTGACACTTTTATGCAAGAAAGATATTTTAAAAAAAAAAGAAAAAAAAGTAACATACCTATGTACATAAATAGTTGTGGTACGGTTTTTTCCATACAGGTCTGGGCGGCCTCGGTTTTGGAGGATATATTTTATCCTTTGAAAACAGAGGATAGCGGTCTCATCACCCATCATTTTTTTTCAAAACAAAGACAGTTAAGGTCAGACGACACGTTCCTCAATAAAAGATAAATTTTCCCAAGAATTTGTCATTGAAGTATTACTGCTTTAAAAAGATTCCTCACAAAAAATTAAGGTACCTTACCAGGCATTTGTGCAAGATACCAGAGGATGTTGTTAACTATATAACCCTGTTGGAAACCACTAGTATGAGCAACATCACAATTTTTTATGTCTTTATTTACTTCAGTAAACATTTTTAAAACAGTTTAGAAATCACGAGACATATTAATGATAATTATTATTAATTTGTTGTATATTACAAAGAGATACAAACCAGATGTTTAATGAACGTGTCGCCAGACCTCAACTCTAAACAAAACGAAAGAACAGCAACTATCAATTGCATTATGAACCGCGTATGCCGATTTCTCAACCAAAACAATTTTTATATGATGATGGATAAATCTAGATATTAAATCAATATAACTTTATTTTTTGTAATTGCCCGCAAGCAATTATTCAGTTTACAGCTTATTTTGCAACGATTACCCTTACCTGCCTGTGAAGCACACTGTTTTCCTATACCATAGTTATGTGATAAGTGGTTTAGGAATTTCGATAAACTTCTTCTTTTTTTGAAAAATCAAGTTTAATTATTTATTTTATTCATTTATTTAATAATATTATTTTTAAAAAATAATAAGAACATTATTGTATGCTCTTACAGAAGATGGATTTCTGCTATCTGTCAACTTGGCACATGGCCGTAGGAACCGGGGGGCACGGGGGGCCTTGCCCCCCCCCCCAATAATTTCGCCGATATATACATTACTATAGAAAACATAGCTACCATATACTTGTGCCCCCTAAATAAAAACGTCTGATGACCTTTTTTTTTTTTTTTTTTTTTTTTTTTTTTTGCTTGTCAAGGAATTTTTGGTTGATAGTGCCCCCTCAATTGAAAATGTATGGCTGTGCCCCCTCAAACTGAAATTGTTTCCTACGGGCCTGTGGCATTCGTATGCATGTCTATCTTCCGCCCCTGGTGCTCGTCTGTCGGTTCCGATCGTCATCAGATGGTCTCCAACCTTCATCGGATGTTTCGACCCTAAACCATGACATCCTCCAGTTGGTGGGTCAGCAGTGGTGGCCAACCCGCTACTCAATGGATCCCGACTTCCAGCACAGATCATCTCGGCGGTGTCATATCCAGCAGGATGACTTCTCTGCTGCTTCTCCCACTCTTTTTATTGCTGTCTTGCATGCTCTTCCTGCAGATGATCCTAATCGTTCAAGCAGCTTCCACACCGATTGCGTTGGGTACCCTCTGCAGCCGACCTCTATCGGAAACAGCCAAACGCCCCATCCTCTATTCCTACAGTCTGCCATGAGATCTGCATATTTAAGGCTCTTCCTCATGTGCCTCCCCACAATTCTTTTCCCAAGCACGGTCAGCTCTATTGCGACCATCGTTTTCGGCTGCTGGGACACTAATACTGCGACTGGTCGTAGGTTGGTTTCTAAGATGTTAGGGAAAACTAACATCCTGTCTAGATCCACTCTAAGCTCCCAGTCATGCCCTCTATCCAGCAATTATGTTGGCCTGGCTACTTTTGTGTCAGCCGTTGCTTTGAACGCCCTGTCTCAAAAACTGTACATGTCTTTGTTTCTTGTCTGATGGTCGTTTCCTTCTCCTCTCCGCCTCCAGAACATCAGCCAACTCCCGCAGGACTTTGTCGTGTCGCCATCTATATCAGCGCTATAATTGGCATCCCGAGACAATATGCGCTATGGTCCCTCTCTTACCACAAAGCTTGCCGTTTGGGTCTTCGCTTAGTCCCCGCTGTTGCAAGTTTACAGGAGATGGGAGTGTGTCATAGACTGACCTCAGCAGGAACGAGTTTCTAAATTGGTCTTTCCTCCACAGTTCTGCCCATGTTAATTCCCGCTCTGGTAAGTCCCACTTCATCCAGACCCATAATTTACGATTCTTCATTTACATATGATTTTGTTCAGCTTGGAAAACACCTAAATACCGAAATGGAGTCATTTGCAACATTCTAAAATATGTATTTGCATATGAATCTAAAACTGACTATATGAGCAAGTTTGATTTGTATCTATTATACTATTTCTGAATTAAGAAATCTAAATCTGAAGAGTTGTTTTTTGTTAACAGATACACAAACGGAGAAAACGGATAAACAGAAACAGAGATTTTGGTAAAATATTAACCCTCCCCTTGTCGAGGAGTTATTCATTTATATATTATTAGAAGACATTTATTTTAAGATACTACTTTTAACAAGATAACGTTGTGTTGTTTATTTTAGTAAAACTTGATCTTGACAGCATTGTCGTTATAAACTGAGCACTTGATGCGAATAACGGACTGATGGATCTTAATTGACAACGTGGATATATACTCTCTCTTTGACATTTCATTCGGCCTGTCCGTAGCAAGAAATAGTATTCCAACATTGACACATCATATTATCGTTCCTTGCTGTTCTTCAGAGACTGATTTTATTTTTTTACAACTCATTCAAATAAGTTTTTCAGGGGTATTTATTTGAAGCTGACAAAAACAACAGATAACTTATTTGACAAATTCATGATTAAGCATTATTGCCACATGGTAGAGTGTGGCTAATCTTTCTTTGTTTTCCCGAAAAGATCGACCAAACATTAAAATCGCTTCTTCCGTATATCCATTTTCATTTAAGCAGCACCCAAGAAGACTCAATGCAATGTATCGATGTGATACTTTTTTGAATAGAAATTCTCCAAACTCTTTTAGGGCAACGCATGATCCGATGTTGTCTTCTAATACGCGAAGGCATTTGAATTTCATATAACAAGCGTAAACTACAGGGTCCATAGTGACTTTGAAGGTAGATTCAGGTGTCAACAAATGTTCCAAATAAAAATTTTCCTGTATTTTCAATGCCAGCATTTCGATTTGAATGTCTTTAGTCAACATTGGAAATTCAAAAGGATACAGTTGCATAAGTATTAATGGGCGATATGGCGAAGTTAGAGCTACATTTCCTTGTGAATTAAACATAGATGAGGCTAAAATTTCAAATATTGACATGAAGTTTTCGATTCTAATTTGTGGTGTCGATACTAGATTTTCCAGTGCTGAAGTTAACAGATACAAACAGTTCCTGATGCATCCAAACGAAAAGAATACATGAGCTAGTTGTGTAACTTCTCCAACGTTAAGATTTTCTGCCTGCAACTTTGCATTTTCAATTAAATAATGAACAACATTAAATCGTTGCTGCGGTGTAAAGGACTCAGACGAAGCCTGCATGTTGTGATAAGATGTAGCGCATACAGCACGGATCTGCATGCAAGAGAAAACTCCTATGAGTGTTTCCTTTAGAAGAGGTGAGAAATTGTCTTTGTTTTTCTTAACAGATTTCAGTACCAAAGTAATGGATTTAATCGCAAGATCAGCATCGGCCTCCTCTGACCTATTAACCATGCAGTCTACAAAACGATTAATTATATCCTCTGAAACATATCTAAATATTAAAGTATCGCGAAAATCTCTTACATGATTCATATAGGTACTAAATATTCCCGGTAATCTACATAAAATGTATACGTTACTTCGAACATTTTCTATGGGTTTAAGAGAACACAAGGATTTGGAAAAATTTGGAGATGTTAAAAAGTTCTTGACTAAACAAATTAGGATATTTTTTTCATTTTCAGAATATTTTAAATGAAACAAATTACATTTTCTCATGAAGTAATTTGGGCAAAAATCGGCTTCTAAAAATTCCAACAATTTTTTAAAACAGATTTGGACATATTTAAGAACATGTTCTGGTTTCCAAGATGGTGCATCGTTTTCTTCCATTACCCAAAAAACAACTGTTTTAATAATGTAAGACGATATTATAGCGGAAAACTCCCCAAAGATCTCCTTCCTGATAGACTTTAATAAGGAATAAACGAAAAGTTGCATATAGTTCATATTTCGAACCAGAAGTCTTTCAGCTAGAACGAAAGATATCCGCCATTCTAGGTCTTCGGTAATACTTTGACGTCCACCGATTGGAACCATATAACACCCTAATGAAACTGCTTTTTCTATGAGGTGTCCTGACGGCCAATTAAATTCTCTGCTTCTATCAATCCATTCATCTGCTATTTCAGGCCATTCGTTACATTTTAGTCCTATAACACAGTCTGTGGACTCTACCCATAGTAATCTATTTGTCAGTATGTTTGGGTTGCCTGTTTTGAAATTTGTTGAACAGGAAGGACCATTGACAAACCAGCTGATTGTCATTTTATCTCCTAGAAGTTCAGTCATGCGGCTTAGTAGTCCGGCGTCGGATGCGCTACTGTACGCTTTGAAAGAGTCTCGTACAACTGAGTTGAGAAGGAATTCGTCTTC